TGATAAATGGAAAACAGGGATGCGGAGTGCAGAGGATGAATCAACTAGCTTAGCTTTGTCTCTGCCTCCCAGGGCAGGCATGATCTGAGACACAATTAGCCTCACCGAAAGAGCAGCGAAAGCACCTGGGAGAAGGTCACAAACCACTGGAGCAGGAGTTTAAAGCTCCGGACCACTCACAAAACCCAAACAAAAAAACAACAAAGACACCCCTCACTGTTTATCAGTACCTCTCCTCACTGCTACCCCCAAGGACAATTTAACAATCCTGTAGTGCCAGGGAGCCTTCATTAACAGGGTTATTTATTGATTTATTTTTTGGTGCTGGAGGATGGACCCAGGGCCTTGAGGATGGGACAAGTGCTCTATCCTCTGCCTTTTTTTCAAATTTTATCTTGAGACAAGGTCTCCCAAGTTGCCCAGGTCAGCCTTGAATCTTTGAGTCCCCTGCTTTAACCTCCCAGGTGGCTGAGACCATGGTGTACCTAGCACCATGTCTGCCTGAATCAAAGTTTTTGCTTTAAATACATGATGACTATGGAAGGTCCTATAGCCATGTTACAACACCCTGAATTTAATAACTTAAACTTGATATGGTTAATATAACATATATTGCATATCTCAACTTCTTTCAGGTAAGGTGATAAGTAAGAAGGTTTAATTTACAGTTTTAATTTCTGCTCACAAAAAAGATGTCAATATTCTAGCAATGGTGATGACACCTCATTATTATAAATGTACTTTGAATAGTACTTTTTTTTAGTTTGAATAATACTTGATTGAAGAAATAATTCTTAGGTACAAGTGGGTCTATAGTCTATGTACAAATTTTCAACAGAGCAGGTTTATAGTCAAAGCTGAATTTAACAAATACTTTACTTCCTGACTTCTAAAAACAAATTATGGTAGCACTTCCTAAAAATGAACTAAAGTTAAAAGTAGGTGACACCAGTTCTTTTTTTCCCTTGTGTGTGATGAACTTCATGAAGCATTAATTCTTTTATTCTTTCTTTTTTTTGTCTTTTTGAGGCAGAGTCTTGCTATGGAGTTCAGGCTGGCCTTGAGCTCACTTTGTAGTTCAGGCTGGCCTTGAGCTCACTTTGTAGCTCAGGCTGGTATCGAACTCACAAGCATCCTCCTGCCTCAGCCTCCTGCTGCTGGGATTATAGGCATGTGCCACCATGCTCAGCATGAAGCATTAATTCTTATGGGACATTTGTTTCGGGACCAGACAACTTATGTGCTCTTCTTTCAAAGGCAGCTTGGCTGTCATTATTTCTAATTTTTTTTTGTCCTTTTCTTGGAATTTTTTTTTATCTTAAATTACTTATGATTGTGATTTCCAAATAAGTATGTGGGTGGATGGCCACACACACACATAGGTATGTAGAAAACTAATTTTTTTTTTAGTGCACGCTGGTCAGAGATGTGTTCTACTTGATATTCTTTGAAAGCTTTTCAGGATTTTTTGTAACCAAAAAGTGGCAATTTTGTTGTCTTTTTGAGACAGGGTCTTGCTATGCAGTACAGGTTGGTCTTTATCTCACTTTGTAGCCCAGGTTGGCCTTGAACTCACAACGATCCTCTTGCCTCAGCCTCCTGAGTGCTGGGATTACAGGCGTGCACCACCATGCCCAGCTCTGGTGGAGATATTTTATAAATGCACCACACGCCTTCTGCAGGTATAGATCTCCATTTTTGGGTCCAGGTTTCTATCCGTCTCTACTTAGTTGTGTAGCTGTCACCTGTCGGCTCTAGCTTGTCCATTTTGTTGCTGTAAGTGGAACCTGGCTCTGGCCCTTCTCATGTGGAGCCTTCAGTCCTGTTTCTCCAGCAGGAGCTGAGGCTGGCCTAGCCACCCACCGCCCAGCCTCACACTGCCCACCCACACACTGTCCCCCGAGCTCCATCCAACTGCAGAGCCAGGAGCCTGGCTGCTGCCAGAGGAGAGGGAGCAGAGGCTGCCCTGGGCTTGGCTGTAGCTGGCTTACCTGTATGGCGACACTGAGCAATAGCTGCTTGTGCAAAGTCCTTGATTTTCTTGTATTTCTGCAGAAAACTCTCCAAAAACTGGGCAGCTTCCTGAACCGTAACTCCAAGACAAGCAGCAAGACGCTCCTTCCCTGTAAGAGTCAGAAAGATGCATGATCAGAGTCTAGCCCTGCCCACACGGGTGAGTGGGGTACTGAGAGCATGAACCCCGGGGAGTGTGCAGGTGGTCAGAAACCAGCTGCCGGAGGCCTCTAGGACAATGAGGTGAGTCAGGGCCCCGATGGCACCCCTGGTCTTTTCTCACGAGTTAGGCGGGTGCTGCCTTTGGGCTTCACACACTGGGTGCTAGGTGCCATCCACCTGGACAGGGTCTGTTAAATACTTAAATTTTCAAATATGTTCACTGCCAGGTGCTGCAGGTGAAGCCACAGATGAAGCAGACTCAGTCCTTGGTTGGGGCGTGGCCAGCAGGAGACCTCACTGCAGAACTGGGGTGGGGTGGGAGAGGGGAACAGAGGAGGCAAATTTCTACGCTAAGTGGTGGCAGCATGGCACTAGAAGTTCCAGTGCTTACAACTGCTATTTTGGAACACATGCTGTTGGTCCAGATCAATCCTTTGCTCCTAGACGACCCAGCGTCCTTATGAAGAGCTCATAGAAAGGCCTCTGGCCCAGCACAGGGATGAGACCGCACAGGTTTGGGCCTTGTTCCAGCTGCTTTGCCCATGGGAGGTTCTATGCGGCCTTGAGAAAAGTTGCCTGAGCCACAGGAGACCATTTCTGCTCTGTGACTTGGGAGCAGTAGTCCTCGCCCCGGGGTCGCTGCGGGAACACCATGAGCCAAAGCACGTGAGGCTGCAGGCTCCTGCTTGCTACTCAATGTGGCCATTCCTTTTCACCTTCCCCATAAAGAGCCAGGGGAGCCCGTGCGTCCAGGCATGGGGTCCTTGCCTGATAGGAGGAGTGCAGGGAAAGCCCTGGGCTCCAGGGGATCCAGCATTGGAGAGAACCCCAGAGCTACCCTCCTGGGAGACCATCACCAGATCAGAGGAGGGCTTGCTGTCCGCTACCAACCCTTGGTCAACTTTTGGCCACATTAGAGTGTACCCCAGGGGTCTTCACATAGGATGGCCTGGAGACCATGGTCCACAGGTAGCAATATGAGGTCTGTAAAGACAAAGACACAACTCTGTCCTCTCAGATCTGGTCCTCTCTTCAGCCAGGCCAGTCTAGCCTCAGCCAGCTGAAGCTTCAGTAGTTCTGGAAAGTAATAACATTCAAGTCTTGGGACAGTGAGGAGTGGACATGAGCTTCTATTGTCTCGCCAGGAAAAGTGAAAAGTGGGGGTGGCTTGTTCTTCCAGGGCTTATCCTGGCAGAGAGGGTAAACTCTAGAGGCCTTGGTCTTCATGCCTCAGGCTGCCTAACTATTCAGAGCCATTTGACTGGAGAAGAAAAACCTCCAGAATTCCTTTCAAGGTTGTATCAAGACACCGCATGTTCTGCTACATTTTAATGCAATAATCCATTGATGACTCTTTCTATCAAAGTCCAAACACCACCTCTCAGCTACAGTACTGCAGTAGAAATGTCTGTGGGCTTCTGAAAGGAATCAGATGGTGGTGAAACCCTTGGCCAGGTCAGCCAGATGGGACTTGGAGTGGTTTTTCTTAGCCATGTCTTTTCTCACCTCAATTTGCTGTTAAACTCATCTGGAATATTTTAAACTTCGGACAATGTAGTTTTCAGTTTTAGAATTTCCACTTGGCTGTTTTTATTTGTGGAAGTTTTCTTTCTCTTTATTATGTGTTTTCCTTTTCATCCTTGAGCAGCTCTGAAACTATCCGCTGATTCCAATGTTGGGGTCATCTCAGGATCTGCTTCCTGAGATCGGCATCTCAGGATCTGCCTTTTCTCTTGAGCATGACAGCTGGCCTGTTTGTCCTTATGTTTAGGAATTCTTGATTGTATTTTGGACACTGTAAATATGTTACAGAAACTTTGGACTCTGTTGTATTCTTCTGAAGAGTACTGTTTTTTTTTTTTTGTTTGTTTGTTTACTTTGAGGTTAACTTTACTAAAATCTTCATATTCTGTCTGCAGTAGACAGCTGACGAAATCTTAGACCAGTCTTTGTGGTCTGAGCTGGGCCGTTCAGATTCTCCTCCATTCGTGTCCAGTTAGGGGCCAGAATTTAGGCTTCTCCCCTGGCTCTCTCTTTACTTTTCTCCTCGCTGTCCAGATTTTCTAGCTGCCCCAGACACTGTTTTCTGGCCCCGGCTAGGGAGGCTGTGGGTTTCTATTGGAGTTCTCACCTCTGCAGCATAGACTGAGTCTTGCCTTCAAGTGCAGAGCTGTAAATGAGAAGCTCACTCTTGGCCTTGTCCTTCTTGCAAGTGTCAACCAACCTCATTTCTCTTTGCTTTTTGTTATCTTCCAATGCTTTCACGTAGCTTAAAATTTGTTTATGCAGTTTATAGATATCTGTGGCTGGGTTGGTCTGATGGGAGCCCATTGGGCATTATGAGAGGTTACACCTCTTCTAGTATTTATGACTAACAGTGAGTTCTTTTCTTTTTTTTTTGGTACCTTCCAGAAGGTCAATTGTACTGCTCAGCCTCCTCATTGCTGGGACCAATGCCTGACACCCACCGCCTAAAAGAGGAGACATGTATCTGGCTCACGGTTTCTGAACCATCATCCATAGTTAGCTCCAAGGCAGGAGCATCACAGTGGAAGGGTGTGGTGGAGGATGTTGCGTACCTCGTGGCAGCTGGGAAGCAGAGTGGCTTGGAAAGAGCACCAGAGTAAAGGGCTAGGAATCAGACAGAGTACACAGGGTCAGACCTCTATGACCCACCCAGACCCATGCAGAAGCATGCTTCACTAATTTGCTAGGCGTTTCCTAATCCAGTCAATTTGACAATCACAATAAATGTTTACAATTATATCCTTTGTGCATGTGCGTACACATGTGATGCACGTGTGCATGAGTTTGAGCACTTGTGTCTTAGAGTTAACTTTGGATAGATATCTTCACTCTCTTTTCTCCAAGTGCCACCCCACACATATTGCTCATTTGTACTCTCAGTTCTGTCTTAGCGATGAGCAAGTGCCTGACCCGCAGTAGGCCCCAGGAGTGCTGTGCAGTAGACCCTGACAGACCTGCATAGCCCAGGTGTCGCTGCTCTGGGCAGAATCCTGGGCTCATGGGCTCTGTGTGTATGCTGGATATGATCCTCAGGCTCCTTGCCCACTAGATGCAGTGTTGGGTTCACCCTTGTCTCTGCAGACAGAGGTGAGCCCCTTGGGAGTGGGCTCTGAGCCCTTGTCCACAGAGCTCCTGGCGCAGGGCACACACTCAGTAAGCACTACTGATGGTGTGACTGGACATGGAGCACGCTGAGGAAGTACTGGGAAGACTCAGTGTCAGGCTGACTCTAAGAAAGAAGGAGCTCAGCCAGCCCAGGGTGGAGAAGGATCCGTGAGCTGCGGAGGTGCGCTGTAAGTAGACAGATGGTGACTTCAGCCACCTGCAGGAGAGGATGTGGGCTGCAAGCCAGCCCGGGGTCAAGGCCCAGACAACAACATATGGGGTGCACGAGTCTGAGGTGCTGTGGGGCCAGGCCTGCTCCACAGCTTGCAGGGGCCAAGCATTGCACCCACTTTGCAGTACCTTTGCAGTACCTTGTTTGCTTGTCTTACAGCTGGTCCTCACAGTGGTTGAGGAACTGATTTTCCCAAGACACTGGTGGCCCAGCATCTCCATCAGTAGTGGCTAGGTTGCTCAGAGCTGGTTTTTTGAAAATGCATGAGGCACACCTTTGGGAGCTGCCTGGCCACTGTCTTGGCATCAGCCTTCTTGAGGGTCCCCAGAAGCCCGGGAACCTGGTGAGTTCACTTGCACCCTCCACCCCGCTCATCCATAGGTTCTGGTCTCAAACAAGGGAGAACAAGGCACAGCCTAAGCCAGGCGCACACAAGTGCTAATTCCAGCTGTCAGGCGGGTGGAACAATGAGGGTAGCAGAGACAGAGCCTTAGGGTAGGCGCCCCTGTCACCATCCAGGCTAAAAGTAGCCAAATTACCCTCTTCGCTGGCAGCACAGCTAGTGACTCACTGCTTATTTACACAGCAGCTCTACTCCTCTCCAGAAAACAAAGCAAATGCTGCAGAAGGAGCCCATTGGACGGACAGGAGGCCACCTTTCTCTGAGGAGCAGAGATGTGGAGAGGAGAGATGACGGTCCTCCTGGGCTCGGGTACAGGGGGAGGAAATGGGCCAGGTGACTGATGACAGTAGTAAGTGTCCCCATTGTCCCTGCCGAGCTCACCTCCTGACCTGTTCTCCAGACACTATGCCCACAATCAGAATGTTCTCAGAGTTTGGCGACTCTGTGCCTTCTCTGCCAGGTGTGAGCGAGCAGAGCAGAAGGGTCCTGCCACCTGCCCTGAGCACATGAGCTCTACCAGGCTGGGGCCCACAGGCCAGAGGGAGCCAGACACTGAGCGAGGTAGGTGCCTCCCCAGGCGAAGCTCGCTCGAGGTCCCAGCCCCAGTCAGCATCCTGCAGCAGCCTGCAGGGGACCTGGCCACGACACGCCTGCCCCCACAGACACTGTAGCAGTGAAAGCGTGCTGTTTTAAGTCTTGAAGATGTGGCAACTTGAACGGTAATGAACACTGGCTGAGAGGGGCTCGCTGAATGCAGATCTGACTCAAGCAGGGAGTTCTGTGCACACGCAGGGAGGTATCCTGAGAGGAAAGGGGAAAGCAAAGCTCTGAGGCTCCAGGAGGGGCGCCCAGGATGCACCCCGGGGCTGTGCAGGCATGGAGACTGCACACGCTGTCCTCTCGGGCTGCTGCGTGTTTGCCCTGAGGTTTACACAGGCCACTGTGTGGTTTTGCTGGAATGTTCAGAGGTCTCCATGGCGGGGAGGTGAATCCTCTTCTCAGGGCCTGTGTACAAGCCCCACAGCTCCAAGCCGCATCAACCAAAGGGACAAGGAGCTCACTGAGGCCTGCAGCAGCAGACAGACCACTCCTCAAGGAATGGGCAATCTGGCACCACTTGGGCATGACCAGCTCAGTCAGGGTAGGAAGGAAGGAGGAGTGGAAGGGGCAGAGGCTGCTCTGCTGGGTCCTGGGGAGGGGGAAAAGAGATGGGGACAATGGCCCAGGCCACTGGCCTCCAGCTGCACAGTCTGGCCTTCTCTCTGCCCTTGAGGCTAGACCCTTTCTTGGAAGGCCCTGCCTTCTGTAGCGGGGCTGGCTCTGGCTGCTGGCGCAGCTGGAGAGTTCTGCTCTGAGGCAGATGCATGTGAGCGGAGATGCAAGAACAGCCCAGACAGAGTCCATCATGGGGGCTTTAACACTGCCAGGCCAGCTGTGTGCATCTAGAAGGGCCTCTGAGCATCACAGTGATGTCTGGGATGATGGTGTGATGTGTGCGTGGGGGGCCTGCTCATCCTGAAAGTGTCGCCCATGACATGGAGTCGGGCATGGGAAGTGGCCTGACTAGTGTCTGGTGACACAAATGTCCCCAGAGTGCTTGTGTAGTCGAACCCAGCACTCACAGAATGCTTTCTCTGCAGCATGGTCACACAGAAGCCTGTGGTCCTCGGCTGATAGGTAACCCCAAGACCTCAGCCCCTGCCAGGCCCACCTGCTCCGTAGACCACAGAGTACACCACCTTCTTGGTCTGCTCTCTGTCTGCTGGCATCACGTGCTCTACGGGAATGTTCCTCCTGCACAGAAATACAGCGTCATCAGACACAGTTGGCCCGGTCTGCAGGGGAGACAGTGGGTCTGAGCCCTGTGGACCTGCCATGTCCCCTCACTGTTCCGAGCCAGATGGAGAGATAAGAGATAACCTGTTGCCACTTGGGTGGAGAAACAAGTGATAACTGTAGCGCCCTGCTGCTCCAGGGCCTGTCACACACTGGCGTGAAGGCCAGCCCCATGTTCTGCATGTCACAAGTCAAAGTTGAAAACTGCCCACTCTGAGGGACATCCATCCAGCACCAGCGGGCCTGTTCCCATGCTGGGATGATTGGCTGCCAGAGGGGTGAATTGGCTTCTGGTCCTTCCCAGTGTCCCACAGGACTGGACAAGCAACCTCTGCCTCCAGCCCTAACCTTACTGCAGGCATGGGGCGAGCTGCCTGGGGTTACAGCACTCAGATGGAATAAAGATCAGCTCTATGTCTGACCCACAGCAGTCTCCAAAGAATACAACCAAGAGAGCTGAAAAGCAGAGGGCATTGCAAATACCACTGAGCCATGCCCACCTGCGTGGCACCACTCCCCCCGACAGTCCTATGTTTGGGTACTGCCTCCTGCCAGCCACATTTACAAACATCCTTAGCATCTATACCAGGCCTGCCCATTGGGCTGGGCACAGAGTGTCAGGAGCCAACAGAGAAACAAGAAAGCCTCCCAGTCTTTGTGACTGGCTCTGTAAGCATGTGTGGTGGGTGTTCTTAATTTCTTAGCCACCCTGTTCCCAACTCTGCCTTAGCCTTCACTTCCTTCATGCCCTGAGCCTTGTTTTTTTTTTTTTTTTTTTGGTATCGGGAATTGAACTCAGGACCTTGTGCTTGCCAGGCAGGCGCTTATGCCACTGAGCTAAATCCCTGGCCCTTTATGCCCCGAGCCTTGAGACATCTCCAGGTGAAAACTAAAAGTCTTTTTAGGACTTTTCTGAATGTGAAAGCTGCCCTGGGCATGCATGAGGCCCCCTAGCCTTCTTCATAGACAAGGTGCTTTTGAGTCTTTCTCTGCAGCTTTTCCTGCCCAGCTGTCATTGCTCTGTTGTTTGCCTGAGCTACATCTTTGCCGGAGTGAATGCCGGTTGTCAGTCTTTTGACATTTCCCAGTGGGTCGATGTTGTTCTTCAGACAACCCCAGGCAAGTGAGAACACAGCACTCGCTTCTTTGTGCAGGAGGAAGCTCTGCTCCCTCTGAACCAGTGGCAGGGCCCAGAGACAGAAGCACACGGCCAGCACAGGGGCAGAGTGGGGCAAGCAAAACACACAAAGCTCCCCTACCACTCTCAAGGTGCCTTTTCTTGACTGAGATTTGCCACCAGGGGAAATGTCCACTCTCCAGAGCTCTGAGAAGGTTGGCTCCGGGAACTTAGGTGGACTTTGGGGTGGCTGCAGACGACAGGGCTGGGCTGCAGAGCTGCATCCACCTCCACCTTCATTTTCAGGGATGCCTTGCACACCATCAGTTTTCACCTTCCGATTTCTAAGCACCACAGCATTTCTCGTTTTCCCCTTTTCTTGCTGTGTCCAGTGATTTTGCCCAATTGTTTATCTCACCTTAAACTTGGCTTTGTTAAGAGCTGTACTTAGAGAAGAAGCAGTGTCAAGATACATCAATGCCGAGAACAACACATGCCAGCTCCTAGGTCATACTCCTTGCCCCACTCTGCACCTTCATTTTGGAAATCCCATACATGCTCTGAAGCTGTTGACACTTGTGCTCAGAAATCCCTGAAACCCCCAAACCAACCAAGCAACTGACCAACTCACTAACCAACCCGCCAACCCACCAACCGAGAAGGGCTTCCACTGTGACCCTCCAGGGGCACTGCAACGAGAGCAGGTGGTCTCTCTAGCGACAGCTAGAAGAGGGAAGGGGCATCTGGAGCAGGCTCTGTCCTCTCCACCACACCATGCAGGTGACCTCGACCTACCCTGACTGCGATGTCCCGGGCTAGACCACTGTCTGGGGAGGTGACATTGAAACCTCCCAGAACCTGCTTCACAGAGAACCAGACTGACAGATCCAAGCAACCAAATAAGCAGACACTGCGGATATGCATCAGACAGTATACTCTGATGGCAGAGAATGAGCTTTCTTCTCAGTACCTAGGACACTACTCGTAATAAGTGAGCTTATATTAAGATAACACGGAAAACATAAAAAATGTGCATAAAGTAGATCTATTAAAATAATACTTTCTGATCACATGGCAATAAAATTAGAAATTAAAAAACAAAAAGAGCCCTTCCATCAGGAAGTAAACCAAAAGGAGTACAACAAAAATTAAAACATTTCTATCAACCACCTTTGGTGTGAGGGGAAATACAGAGATCACAATTTCCCATGAAAATACTACATACCAGCACCGGTGAGGAAGTTTGATAGCCCCAAATACCTCTATTAATAAAAACAAGAATAGGTTTACATTTTCAATTTTAGAAGGAAGGAAAAGATCAAGGAAGTACATTGAAAGAACCTCAAAGGAAGGGAATGACAAAACTAGAGTAAAGGTAGGAGCCGAAACTAAGGAGGTACAAAACAGAAAAGTAGTAGATCCAACGAATAAATAAAATTCTGGTTCTTATACAAAACAAAATAGACAAACCATTAGCAAATTCCCTAAGAAATGAGAAAACACAAATATATAATCTGAGAAACAACAAAGGAAAGTAACTACTGTTAGGAAAGAAGTAAAAAAAAAAAAAAAAAAACCTAAATGATTATTTTGTGGCACTCTGTAAAATAAATTTGAAATCCTAGATTAGATGGACAAGGCCTAATACAGTTCTAAAAATTGACCTCAGGCAGGTGAAAGTTAAGGATAGGAATATCTATAGAAAAACAGAAAATGTTTAGGGAACTAACCCACAAAACACCAGATAAGATGGTTTTTCAGGGGATTCTATCAAACCCTTAGCTACGTAAATTATTTCAGAGCCTAAGCAATGAAGAGAAACTTCCAAGTTTCTTTTATCAGTCAAGTATAGCAATTACATCTAACCACGGCTCAGAGAGGATAAAGGAGATATAAGAAAGACTGTTAAGGTGTGAAAGGTGGAAAGGGTCAAAGAACCCAGCACCCACTGGGATGTGAAAGAGGTACTGAAGTATACTGGACTGCAATGAGTTATGATATATGTTTTGCTTTTTTTGTTTTGTTTTGTTTTCTTCCAGTACTGGGAATTGAACTCACGACCTTGCACTTGCCAGGCAGGCCCTGTGCCACTGAGCTAAATTCCCAGCCCCACTTTTGTTTTTTGAGACAGGATCTCTCTGTGTAGTTCAGATTGGCTTTGCACTCATTATGTAGCCCAGGTTGGACTCAAACTTACAGTGATCCTCCTGCCTCAGCCTCCAAGTTCTGGGATTACAGGTGTGCACCACTACACCCAGCTGAGTTAATGATTCATGATATATTCTATAGAGCAATCATTAATAGAATATGAAAAATGCAGGGTGAGTTGGGGCATGACTGTAATCCCAGCACTTACGGAGGCTGAGGCAGGTGGAGTACAAGTTTAAGTCTTGTCTTAGAAAGACTCTGTCTCAAAAAAAAAAAAAAAACCAAACAAACAAATAAGTAGGGCCAGGGATGTAGCTCAATGGTAGAGTGTCCTTGGGTTTGAGCCCTCAATATTGCTAAAAAAAAAAAGAATATGAAAAGAGTGCAAAGCCAAAAGCTTAGAGAGTGCTAATCCAAAGGAAGGAAGAGGAGAAAATGGCAAGTAAGACAGATAACACATAAAAATAGGACAATGACAGGTTTTAAAAACCAAGTAGTTACACTAAATGTAGAAGGACAAATCTCCAGTTAAAAGAATATGATAGCTGTATCAGCTGGCCCATGCCTATAAACCCAGCTACTCAGAAGGCTGAGGCAGGAGGATTGCAAGTTTGAGGTCAGCCTGGGCAACTTAGTGAGACTATTACAACTTGTATCTTGACGTCCCTCCAAAGCCTCATGCAATCACTGGGGCAGCTTTCTGGAGGTGGCTGGATCTAGGGTGTGTGATGCTGGGATTGATTCATGGTGTGATGCTAGATTAAGGCTGCCACCCCAGGTGTGAGTGCTCCCTGCCCTAAGGGTGGGTAGCCTGGACAGGATAGGAGGTACAGAAAGAGGGTCACTGCTTGCCACTTGTTGCTTGCTGCCTTCTGTCTTCTTTCCACCATGAACTGTTCTCTGTGCCACCCCTCTGCCAGGCCTCCCTGCCTTGGAACCAGCTGACTACAAACCGAAACCTCTACGAACTGTGAGCCACATAAACCTTTCTTCCTTTACCTTTGGGCGTTGGGTATCTTGTCTCAGCAAGGAGAAAAGTAACTAAGACAGAGACCCTGTGTCAAAATAAAAAAGGATTGGAGATGTAGCTCAGGGACAAAGAGCTTGCCTGGCACGTGTGAGGCTCTGTGTTCAGTGAGGAAGGGGCAAGAAAAGGGCAGGAAGAAAATTAAGAACGGAGTGGAGGAGGCGAAGGTTACGATAGCCGGACTGGGCCAATGCCAGACTCCACTATACGCCGTGTACAAAAGACCCACCTTAAACGTGAGGTACAGAGAAGCTAGAGAGGTAAGAGGGTGGGGAAAATACACCACGCAAACTCTCACCAAGGAAAGTTTGTTTAGCTTATGTCAGAAGAAAATAGTTGTAAATTATTTTTGCCTAATAATACAGAAAAAAATATTGACAGAATCAAAAGGGGAACTATACCAATCCTCAGTCATAAAGGAAACATTTTTTATGTGTATTGGGAATCAAACCCAGTGCCTTGCATAGGCTAGGCGAGTGTTCTGCCCCGACTGCATCCCCTGCTCCCTTCATGGGAGTCTTTAACCTGACTCTAAGAGCTAATAGAATAAGGATGTGAAAGTTAATAGAGGGCTGGGGATATAGCCCAGCGCCACAAGCACCTGCTTGGCAAACACAAGGTACTGAGTTTGATTCCTGCTAACAACAAAAAAAAGTTAATAGAAAC